GGTATGTACGTCTGGTTGGCCATGATTAGCCATCCGCCTTGCGTTAGGAGCCGGACCAGCGCCGGGGGGTGGGGGGAGGGGGGAGGGAGATTGACCACATAAAGCCCGCTATGCGCTGCTGCCCTCGTCCTCTGCATCTCTCTCTTCTGCATGCCTTCTTGTCCCGGATCCATCAGGCGCAGTCCACAGATCGTCCCAAGAATCTCTCCATGTAAGAACGAGGACTATCAAGGCGGTCATATATATACATACCATATCGCATCAGACTTGGGTATCAACCATTTACACCCTTTGTCCCTGGACCTGCCGGCCCCTTCCACCGGATGCGCCCCTCGCCCATCATGGCGAGCCGACGGACAAATCTTCTTCCTTCTCGAGTGACCCTCCGGACTCAAGATATTATCCCTGTCAAGTCGTGCCGTGGCATAGAAACCCCCGAAGTGATGCCATCCCGCGAAAGAACGGTATCCAACGTAGTCCGCCTCAAAGCCGCCACACAAGTCGTTGCGCAACAACCCGACTCTCCTCCCGGCCGGCGGCGGCGTCGCGGCAAGCCATCACGCCGGACATCACCACCGCCCAGTCCGTCATCGTCTCTCGAGCAGGACCTGCGTGGTGTAGGGTCCTGGGTATACAGCCAGGACACCCCCCTCGTCTACAGAGAACCACGATCGGAACGACGGGACGAGAGACCCCGGTCGACGTTCCCACTCCACGTCCCACCACCACCCCCCGCCGCCCCCGCCGCGCCGCGGATCCCGAGGCTACAGACGCCCGAACTCGCTCCGCTGCCGACATACCTGGAATTCTGCGCCTGCGAGGGCCTCGAGACCGACGACGACGACGACGACGACGACGAGGACCCTGCCAACGAAGCCTGCTACCTGGCGAGACGGGCCAGGGTCCAGGCAACGGGTAAGAGAAAGGCAGTCTGGAGACGCCATCGCCGACTTTCCGAGATCCGAGTCTGACACTGCTGCAGTCGATGCCGCCATGGCGCACATCGCTCGTTCTCGACGAGAAGCGAGACGGGCAGAGGGCTACACGAAGAAGGATGATCGACCAGATGAATCTAATCACCCTTAGATTGTCTTTCCCCATGTTAGAGATGTCAGATTTGCGAAATCATAGGGATGAAATAAATATATTTCACATGAAAGAGGTGCCTTTGCCGAAGCGCACAGATGGAAGATGGAGTGAAGTCGGATGCGAGCACCGAAGATTGATCTCTGTACGTTGTACCTACGTTGTACTTCGTACCTACATGTGTGGGAGCGGGGAAGAGGGAGTGGGGCTACGTAGATTGTTGCCTACTGGGCAGAATATAATAAAGGCCTAAGGTATGTGAGTGGGTCTTTGGGGAGTGGGCCCCCTTGCACGGCCCACAGACCTTTATTTAAGGAGTAGATGACTAATTGTGTAAAAGAACCCGGTACCCTCGGGTCGGAATAATATAGCCGCCGCTTTGCTAGGACCACGTATCCTATCGCACTAAAAACATGTGAGCCTGTTTTCTGTGTTTCTATTAGCTGGATTAGCCCTATATTCCTCGCGTGGAAAAGGTGTAGATATAGTTAGAATACCCATACCTTCCTGTTCTTCTTTCCTTTATATAACGAATACAATAATATATCTATTAAATCTTTGCTCCGGCCGGATTATACGCCCGTTAATCTAATAGTTATAAGCCCAGGTAATAGTATTTATTACTAGTAACTTTTAGCTAATCTATCACCTATATATTATTTCTACCCGTTACGTATACTTCTATAGCTAATTAAGGAGTATCTACCCTACTCTCTCGCTTAGAAAAGCCCTTATTCGCTAAACCCCTGCTATAAACTATATCCACGAAGCTTAAAGTCACCGCCGAAGCGCTCGGTATACCGCGGCTAGAGTCTACTAGGTAATAGGCTAATTAGATCTTCTATATTAAGTTATATACGCAGGGTATAGAGGTCTAGGCCTTACTTAACCCTAATAGGCCGGAGTAGCCAAACGACTGACCCGAGTATATTATACTTATATCTATTAATTAGCTACGCGAAAAACACACCTAGGTTATTAACGGGGTGCTAACCCTATCGCACGTCAAAAGGCACTTCAATAATCAACTTAGTAGAGCAGAAATCTCGTGTGTGTGTATTATATCAAGTTATATCTGGGAGAGTCTCTTATACCCTTAATTTAGGTGGTGAAGACTCTGTTATAGGTACTATATTATTTAGATTCTATCCGGTCTTTTCCGGTATCCACCCTTATTATATCCTAATACCTAAAGTCCCCGATATCCGGAGCCCTTACTTATGGAGTGGATCCCCCCTGGATCCCCTATAGACTATATCGTGGTCCTGCCTATACGATACACCCCCTTAGTTAAGGTGGGTCTTCCTAGGTTAACTAACTAATTAGAGGCTTCGGTTTAAACTAAACGCTTTTAACTTTTCTATCGTAAAATCAATAGTTAAGGGAAAACGCCCTAGTAAAAGGGATCTAAATCCGCCCTATTTAACCGTTTAATTTAATTCTATCTTAATTAGTTCATCGATCCTAATTAGCCGGATCTAATTAATTAGATCTATATCTATCGGATCTACTACGCCCTCGGGGGCCTTTATTATAGCCGCTTTAGCGCGTTTAATCTCTTCGTGTAGTTATTTAGACTACTCGATATAATCCTTTTAATTAGTTAAATTAAGCTATTACTATAGTCTTTTAATCCCCGCCTCCGGTAATACCTTCGTTAATCCGTCCGCGATTATCTCCTTCGTATTAACGTACGTAATCTTAAAAAGACCTTATTATACTAACTAGCGCGCCTACTAGTTATATATATCGACGTGCCGTAGCCTTATCCGTAGGCATTATGCCTTCTTATTAATAAGGTTAATAGTCTATTAATTATCGTAGTATAGCTACAGCTATTATTAGTCTAGCCGAAGCTCTAAATCCCTTAATATCCGGCTAACGAATAACGTCTCTTTAGCGGCCTCTATAAGAGCGAGTAGTTCCGATTCTATTAACGACGTCGTGACCGTCGGTTATTTACCCGCTTTCTAGTTAACGGTGCCGCCGAAGAGCTTTATCGTATATCCTTACGAACTCTTACGGTCTGGATTATCCCTAAAGGACGCGTCGCTTATTATTAGGAAAAGCCTATCCCCGCCGAATTCTAGGTAGTAGTGTCTTATATAGTATAGGAATAGCAGCACTTATTAAGCCCTCTTAAGGTGGTTAGAGGAGGGGTTAATGTTATATTAGGAAAGCTTCGAGCAGGCGAACACGATATCGGGTCTTATCACGATAGCGGCGTATAGGATAGAACCAATTATTCCCTGATACTAATAGACCTCGGGAATCGACGCGCGGGTGCCGTCTCGGGGTATTACCGGCTCCGTAGATAATAGGACCTTTAGTGGTTTTCGGCAGAGTATATCTACGTAGTATTTAACCGCGATCTTCTCCACGTAGGAGGACTATAATAGCTATAACCTACGGGTGGCTCTATCCCTTAGGACCTTAATTCCCAGGAACTAACGGATTTCTTCGCCTCCTAATAACCTATAGCTTCGCTTAAGGGTAGCCTTAAGGTCGTCGGCGTCCGTCTTACGGTCTTTATAGTATATAAGTCCGATATCGTTAATATAGAAGAATAGCATTAAACCGTCGCGGATTATAATATAGGGGTTATGAGGGATAGCTATAAAGCCTATCCTCCATAGCGTGCCGCTAAATTCCTCTTACTATAATAGTAGCGATACCCTTAAACCGAAGAGGGCTTTCCGTAGTAGTAGGACCTTACCTAGTACTTCGTAGCCTTACGGTATCTTTATAAATACCTCTTCTTTAAGGCTAGCGTTAACGAACGCGTTAACGGTATCGAACTGCCTTATCTCCAGGTTAAATTGAGCGGCGATCGCTATTAGTATACGGAAGGACCGCGAGGCTAGCGTTACAGCGTAGTTATCTTTAGTCTCTAACCGTTTTTATTAATCCCCTCGGACTATAAGGCGTGCCTTATACTTAAGAAGGGTGCCCTCCTTATTAAATTTATAGGTGTATACCTATCTATAAGCGAGGACTTATTACTTATTAGCCTAATTACCACCTACCTCCTACTAGTAGCCTATCTATCAGTGCCCTTTAAGGTATTCCCCTTTAGCCTATAACCACTGCTCCCGTAACGGATAAAGGCGTATATCGCGGTGGTGGTTTAGTAGAGGCGGGAGATCCTCGCGGGTTACGTATAATAGCGATAGCGGTTAGGAGGTATAAAGGGAATCTATAGCACCGACGTCGTTATCGTTATTAGTTTACTTCCTCGTGCGTATAGGGTTATAAGTCCTACTAGCGTTAAAGAATGCCTTTTAGGCGTTATCGTTCTAGACTTTCTCGGTTATATATAGACTTACGATAGTTCTCGCGATAGATAGGCACGCGGGTAATAGGCGTATAGCCGATAGGAGTATAGCCGACAGGCACCCCTTAAGGGCACCTATAGCTATCCGTTAGTGGTTATTATATTCTTCTATCTTAGCGCCCCTGACTACCGCTAACGCTATAAGGAACGCGCGCGTGGGATCTTTAGGGGATATTAAAGGCGTGGGAAACGGTTTAAACCTTATAGTGGTAAACTGTGAAGTGTCCGTAGTAATAACGGTAGCCTCTCCCGTAGTAATAGCGGTAGCGTCGGAGTTACGAGGTTCTAAATCTATAGCCTAGTTATTAGGCTATAGATTTAGAACCTTATTTATAGTAATAGCAGTGGCCTTTCTTGTAGTAATAACGACGGCCTCGCCTTTATCCGTAGTGATAGCGGTAGTATTACCTTTACCCGTAGTAATAGCAGTAGTATAATCTTCTCCTATAATAATAGCAGTGTCCGTAGTAATAGCGGTGCCCGTAGTAATAGCGGTATAGTCTATAGTAATAGTAGTGGCCTCTCTTATAGTAATAGCGACGGCCTCGCCTTCGTCTGTAGTAATAGCGGTGGCGTAAGAGTCTTTCAACTTAAGATCTAATACGTCTATAGCTATACCCCTTAATAGTAGCCTATTCGCGGTCATGGTATAAGTAATACAGATAGATTATAGGCGTTCCCCGATTTCCTTAGCGGAAGCTATAGCTTATAGCGTTTTAATCCTGCCGTTAAATAGCTTATCTTCGTTAAAGACTACGTCTCTCGTGGTAATAATATCCGTTAAGTATAGTAGCTAAATACGGAAGCTATTCGAGGATTAGTATCCGATATAATAGCCGATCTATACCTTCGGTTCTAGGCTTTATAGGCGGTTTCTTTTAGCTTAGGTATCGCGCGTTTTTATAAAGGCTTTATAGCCGTAAGCTCATAGGTGCGTAAGGTTAGGTTAACGGCCGTGTAGGCCTTCGTATAGTGTCTTCTAGTCGTTAATATATTATAGCGTTCTGTTATATAGATATATAGTAGTCTTAAAGATCTTAGGCTAGATAGATATAGGCAGATTAGCTTTAATCCTTATAGCTCTCGCCCTTCTTTTAACGATACTTTTAATCCGTTCTGCCACGCCGTTCTAATCCTATAAATATAGTGCCGACGGCTAGCCTTCTACCCCCTGAGCAGCGAGGAAAGTAACGACTTCTAGGTGCTAAAATATCTTAGAATCGGCCCGTAGAACGCGTGGCCTAACGTCGAATTAGGTCTTAAATAGGGTAAAAACGTCCTTTAAAGCGTGTAGGGTAAAGCCTTAGTCTCTTTTTTATAGGTAGTAATCCTATGTATAACCTATATACACGTCTATAACGAATGTAATAGACTTATACTATCTGCCCGCTAACTACTCCGCCTTTTCTAGATCGCGAAAATTAATAGCTAGGGCCTCTCCGGGCTTTAACGGGTGAAAGAATAGTATCCGCCGGATCTATATAGGCATTTACGACTATCTATACGTGTTATAGTCCATTATACGTGGTCCTTTTATCCTTACCCCCTAAGTAGCATCGATAATCTTTACGAGAGTATCGGTGCCGTAGTGGCCGAGGCGTTTATACCACTATTATACCGTGGTCTTCTATAGTTACCGCGGTTATCGTGATCTTCTATACGGGTTATCGCGGGGGTGCCTTACCGAGACCGCGAATACGGTAACGGCCGTGGCTTCCACGCACTCGATTATATACTAGCCGTGGATATCTAGTAGCTTAT